TCCCTACCACCCCCAAGAAAAAGAAAGTTATTCCCTTAGAAGCAAAATTAAAACACAGCGGACTTACAAGCTTTACCGTTTTAAGCCAATAGTAAGACATTATAAAAAACTAACCAGATTAGCTTTTAAACCATTGGTTTCTATAAAAAGCACAAAATACTTTAAATGAAGTCAGAACCAGGAATGTAAACTGAGGTGGGGGGGATAGTGGGGTGGAAAGAATCCGGTAAACTTCACTGGCTTGTTGGGCTTTGAAAGCTGCTTGGGAGATTAGTTGAAATGAGTAGGCCAGTAGAGATACCACAGTTTGGTGTAATATCTGGGTTCTCAGTAAACTGTCTAAATAAATTCCAGTTATGTCCAGGATTATCTTCCTCCACAGTTTTAAAGGATTGGAGAGGGAGGGGTGGGGGGAAAGCTACTCCAAGTTGTAGTGGTGGAAATCCAGATCAGTTTTCTAACAGTGCAGAGTTGTACTAAGGCGGGGGAGAAAATTCAGGTGTCTTAATTTTAGAAGGTGTTGTCAGTTCTACTTTGAAGACAGAAGGTGTGTGGGCAAGTCAGCAAATCCATGGTGTTACTGGGATGAGGAGGATGGCACAAAAGTCTTAAGTTATGATAATGCCAGGTGGGCTCTACTCTTCCTTCTGCTCAGCTGCTGCAAGTGTTGTACTGGGCTCAGGCTCTACAGGTTTTGAGGGCTCCTGTGGCTTAGCCATTTCCTCCTGAGTTTCTCCTGGCTGTGGCTGCTGCTCCTCCTTGGTTTCCCCTGCTTCTTCATCTTCCCTTTTAGGCTCCACTTCTTGCTGCCCCTCAGCAGCAGGAGCTGCAGGACTGTTCTCTGCTGCAGCAGCTTTTTCCTCTGCCTTCCCCTCCGGGGCTGTAGTGGTCTGCTCAGTTTCGCCGGTAGGACAAGTGGGGTTCTCCTCTCCTTTGGCTTCTGCTTTGTCCTGCTCATCGGTGGGAGAGGACACTGAAGAATCTCCACCCTCTTTCTTGTTCTTCCTGAAGGAGATCCCACTCAGCTTGAAGGACTTCTTGAAGGAGAACTTCTTCTTCTTCTTGGGGGTTTCCTTGCAGGGCACAGCTCCCTCAGGTTTGGCCTCTCCACCTTCAGCAGCAGGGGCTGGTTCAATGACATCTCCGCTGGCAGACTCTGCCTTGGCCTCCTCTTTGACCGGTTCGGCAGATCCATTGCCATTCAGTGGTGGGGCTTCTCCATCCGCCTTTGGAGACACGTCCCCATTGATCTTCACATGGCCATTCTCCTGTTTGGGAGGGAACCGCCAACACATTAAAAAAAAAAGCCAAGCAGTGGCATTATCTCCAAGAAACTGGAGATGGATCAGTAACAGCTCCTGCTTAGTTGCTAGCGGGTTGGGGGATAGCCGCCACATAGGATCAGTGGAGGTTGGCTAGGAAACCTGCATTCTTGTCTCATTACATAGCCGGCTCTTGGGAAGGGGGTGGGAACAGGAACCTGGGCTTGCTCCATTAGGTGGGGTGATCTGGCCAGGAGGCTGGGGGCTGGATTCTCTCCCTGCTCCGGGGGAGAGCCTGGGCTGCTGTTTCCCTTCTCCTTCCACCTTCTGCTAAGGGGGGGACCCCAGCCCTGGACACCGGTTCCTGCGGGGCAGCCGAGCTAGAAGCCAGGCATCGAGCCCCCCACGGGCTAGTCCCGAGCGGGGCTGCGGGCGGCGGCGCGGCCAGGGGGCGCCCGCGCTCCATC